TAAAAGATAATAATATATTATTGTATACTTAATGGTTGGGTGTATAGTTTAAGTGAAGAAAATGTCTAAAGCGGTTTAGTTCAAATTTGTCAAATAGGTAAGTTATAAATAATGATCTAGGTCGAATTGTTATTTTTTTGTTTTTTGTTTGTTAATACATATTATATAAAAGTAAATAATGTACTATATATTTTACAGTTAACCGCTACTACTAAATAAATATTTTAATATATTTGCTTGCACAATTAGGTATATCAGTTTTAATATGATAGTTGTTTTACAAAAAAGTTCATAAAAACAAAATATATGTTAAAAAAGTTTTTGAATAGGTATTAGCAAAACCATATACCTAATCGTACAACTTGTAAATAGTGAACGATTTAAATCAAACAAATTCATAATAAATAATATATGTTCTTGAAGATGGTTTTTATTAGCAGAATTTACGATTAACTAAAAATAAATTGAATTGTATTTTATAAACATTAACGAGAATTCCATAATATACTCAGGCAAGGGGTGCTGATATCTCCACACCATCTCAAAATTTAAAACAAATGAAATTCCTAAGTAATATATATAAAAAATAAAACACTAAAACGTTTTAGAGACTATTCAGATATTTTAAAGGCGAAAATTTAATATTCAGCTGAATATCAAGTTGGAGGAAATCCCAACGTTTGCAAACATTTTAAACGTCAAGAATTATTTACTTTTAAGGTTATCAAAATTATACTGATACGATATTTGACAACTGATTTCTAATTATATATTATGTAAGAATTTTCTTAGATACAACTTTGAAGAATTATAATAACAATATTATTAAAAATGTATATATTAAAGATTTCTGACATCTTATCCAATAGTATGATAAAACAGTCAACATTTAGGTAATTATCTATATCTACAAATGCCTATTGATTTATATATGTAGTAATATATGCGTCGCTAACCAGACCCTGAACGGTCTAAGACCATTAAAATTACTAATACTGTAGATTATTTTTATTGTGTAACTTATATTACAACTAATAATAATAACTTATGATTACTTTTATTACTTATATTCAAACTATATTACAATTATAAACTAAGTAATCTAAATATTTTATTAAATAAGAAAAAAATTATTACAAAATATTTAAGATAATTTAGTATAATATACCTACACGTCATATAAATGATTCAATTTAAATTTTACTGTTTCTTCCTATTAATTGTGTATTAAAAAAATCTTTTTTTAACATTGAAAGTTTTGACTGAATTAATGTAATAATTGGAATACTCAAAGTTGAAAAATATGTCATTTATTATGTGTTTTTCTCCATTTTTAACGGGAAAGGGTAAACTTTAGGTACGGTTTTCTCATTTATATAAATTGGTTCAGCGGTTAAAAATACCTCGTGGGTCGACAAAAAAAAATGAAATCACATTAACAATACCTTCTCAGCTAAGACATTTTGTTTATTTCAAACAAGCCACCGCGTTGATTTACATAATATGTTGACTAATAGACAGCTTAATTTTTAAAATGTTTTTCGGTTCGGTTTTCGGTATAGTTTAAATTATCAAAGGTAAAAATAATTAGAAACGGTAGGTTTATATGTTATTGTATAATATAATGTATATATATTTTATAACAGCGTTTTTTATGCTATTAACTTCAATTTGGAGTGCCGATGAACTATTATGACTATTTAGTTTAAGCATGACAGTGAAATGTCATGCAAAAATTATATAGAAATGCTTGGCCTACAATCAAACCAAATAGTTGCAATTTAATTTTAATCCGTGAAATAAATTCTACCTACACGCCAAACCTGTGTAAACTCTAAAAGGTGTTTTGTAAATTTATTGTAATAATTCAATGCTTATAGAATTGTGCCATCTATATAAAAGTGCTTTTTTTGTATAAATAGTGACGTAGGTATACCTACTTTGTGTGATATACCTACGTGCATTTTAATATGTCAGTGAATATAAACCGAAGACATATGCAATTATACTGTTTGATGAAATGATATAGGTAGGTTAAGCAAAGATAAAATAAAATTCAGTAAACCAGACTTGAACGCCTTTACAACATTTCTACATGATAATATTCGATAGATTGAACCAACAATCTTGTTCTTTGGGGTTGAAATTGCGACTTCCAGCTTGACTATAGAAATACATAACAGCCCTTATATTATATACTCTCACGTGAATTTTAAATTGTTTTCCGGCCGAGGATTAGGATTGTGTGTCTTATAACACAATTATTATATTACTAGTGTATAACAACGTTCATGTTCTCTGCAGTGGCGTTTGACCGTTTGTCATGTGTTGTGTAAGTAATACTTTTCGGACACGCACGCATCACGCGAATTCAAAACTAAACAAAATAATTGTTCTAACCGGACAAAACGAAATATGGTCTTTTTAATTTGTTTCCGTCCAAGACACCTAAGATTCGGGACCAAATAGATGTATATATAGTTACCTACCTATCCGAAAATTCATTCATCAGCTTCTACAACGTTATATTTTATACAGTTTACTATCATAGAGACCTAATTTTTTTAGCAGTTGTTAACTAAGTACTGTAGTATATAAAAATATCTAGTTTTGATTTTTAACATTTTTCTTGCTACTCTAACTGCTGGGTTAAAGTTGAGAGATCACCGCTACTGTTATTTTTACCTTTATATTCAATCAAATTTTAAGGTATAAAAAAAATATTTAAGAAAAGTTATGTACCATTATAGCATATCTTATCCAATGGTTAATTATAATATATTGTTACCCCCTTCCCCTCTTTTTTTCAGGTAAAAAAACATTTTAAAACAATCATTATTAATTATGGTTTTTTTTTATGAAATTCAACTCTACAAAAAAAAAAGTATTAAATAGTAATCGCTTGATTTTTGGATTCTAGACCACTGTGTACACCTCATATGGTTTAATACATTTTATCGACAAGTATACCACTCGTTTGTTCGTTGGCTTTACAGAGAAGGTACCGATAATCTGCAAATAATGAATTAAAAAAAAAAAAAGCTCTATAAAAGTATTTGCTTAAAAATGTTTTAATTTTTGTCGTTTTAGGTTAGGCATAGTGCAAAGTTCCAAACGTTTCTCTATCTACCAAACGTACGCCACTGTGTCTTCAGGTTCTAAACGCATATGTTTATATTGTTATTGTCACAAGTACTCCTAGACTACTTTTATTATATAAAGATATAAATGATACGAAAGTTGAGCTGTAATAGGTTGGTAGGTGTAAAATGCCAACGGGTATATTCTTAAATAAACAAAGCGTTTGCAGGCTTGCAGCCTTACACTGATAAGATAGAATTGGTTAGGTTGTTTCGATTAGTTTTAGGTATTGTTTAATTTGGAAACATCCTGTATACACGCAGTATAGTTAAAATAATATGTTGTGTGTGTGTGTGCAATTTCGGTAATCGCTGGTCGGCGTCGACTACTACGCTGTACCGACTCTCTCCCACGGGACACCGTCAGCCATTGTTGCGGTCGGACCGCCATTGGTTGGCCGCCCGTCGCCAATCCAAGTGGAATAGAGAGCGCCGGCGGCGGCCACTAGGGGGATGCGCGGAGGGCAGTAGGGGGCAAACGTAGCGGAGTAGGGCGCGTTCGCCGTCTGCCGGGTCGGACGGAAGAGGAGGGGTGAAGGCGACTACGCCGCAGAGTCGGACGGTGGCACGGTGGCCGCCGCCGCCCGCGCACCGGCACGCAGCGACCGCAGTAACGGTGCGTTTGTATAGTGCGCCTGGTCGTGCCGTCTCCGGGAGTGGTGATTCGCGCGCGCTGGCATTGTCGCACACACTGTATGCACGCGGTTTTCGCTCGTTTGGCACCCGCGAGTTGGTAAACAGGCACGGGCTCTACCTTTTTCTACGGGGGGGTGGTTTCGAGGAGTGTGTAAAAAAATTTACATGTATTATATTATGTTTTTTTGTAGGTTTTTACTTTACAATTTTTCCATACATAAATAGTGCAATAATTCGTTGGTTTTAATTTAAATTTAAAGTTATTATTTACTTTTTACTGTGCGTCAAGTCACAAACGCAGCCTGTATGCAATATATACATACAAACATCAAAATTGGATGGTTTACCTAGTTTAAAAGTAAGTATTAAGCACAGATAGCGGTTTTTAAACATGTACAAACATATTATAATCTTATAATATTAATAAGTAAATTGGATTCTGTCATCAGGTTTTCTTTTCATTTCTATGTAAATACCTACCCACTAAATACAAGTCATATATATATATATATATATATACATTATATATACTACTCTTCAATCGTAGATTCAGTAAAAACGTTTTACAAGAGTTTTTAGGTTGGTGAAAAATACATAATGTATTTAGTAAAGTAAATTTTAAAAATTGTGATTGTCCCGTACTAGTATCTCTATAGGTATGACTTTAACTATTTTTTTTTCATTGTATCAATACAACTATAGTGGCAATTTTTTTTCGATATTGCCAAAAATATAATTTCTTCCGTTGCAACGAACACATTTCTTTGTTTACGTTATACGAATCTAGTGAAATTAAAAATATAAAAGTAGATATTTCGAGTGACATTTCAATTTGTTTAAAAAGTTACATGATTTATTTTAGTTAGTAAACCAATATAGTTGAAATGTAATATGAGGTGTAGGTAAAACACTATACCTACATAATCTTAAGCGGAATTTTATTAAATGCATTGCACACGGTATGACGTCACCGGTCACACGTGTATTAAATCCAAATGACGTACCTACAGAGTATATGAAATCGTTTTAAAAATTATATTAAAATCAAATCGGTGAAATAGGATGCAATACTCTAACATAATATATATAGCAAAATACTATGCAGTTAATTTACATAATATTATGTAGATAAAACCTCCCCCCAAAAATACATCTGAACGTTATTAAAGACAGATGGGTAAAGACAGATGGGAGTGGTAGGATCAGAGATACATAAATTTCATCTTAAACGACTGGTGTTTGTGCTCTTCTTATACTTTGAATGAGTTCGGCTATCACAGAGCCACAAACGACAAAAACAAATAACGCCAAAAGCCACGGACCAACTGCAGGTGTCTTGTCATTCTCCGTCTTGGTCGATTTTGGTACATTTCCTCGGTGTGTGATGTTTTTCCTAGCTTTTTCATTGGCTATCCTCATCCGTTGCTTTGGAGTCATTTTTTGAAAACTAAAAAAAAAATAAAAATGTTTAAAGTTCAAACTCGGTTTACCTACGGATTGTTGATATTATTTATTTATTTATTGTCATACGAATAAAAAAATAAATAATAATAATATCAACCATTTATAATCTCTAAGCAATTTTTTACCTTCAGTTTCACATCATAAACAATTACAATAATTCATACTAATAGCATTGTTTTACAATACCTAATGATAATAGAAATGAAACTATTACCTTGTTTTTCATGTTTACTATAACTGAAGATTTCAAACGGCATTCCGCATTATATTTAAAAATAATACAACTTTATAGGTACCTACGTTATTGGTACATTTATATTATATATTAAAGCAAACATATAGCAATAATAAGTATTTATTGATAATTTATTTTTTATTAATCTGGCACTACCATGGCGTCTACATCTTATGGTTTATATATCTTTAATTATCATTTTTTATCTGTTGTGGCCATAATAATCATTTAAAATTTTGGTAGAACTTGGTCGGTTTAATGGTTCAGTATATCAATTATTGTAAATATCAGTACTTACTTAATTAAAAACTATTAGTAAAATTTAAAAATCATCCTATTCAAAGTAAAGTAAATGAATTCGGCGCTTGTTAGAAGGGCTTTGCCCTCTTATACAGCTTTCTCAAATCACATAATTAATACTCTGCAATGTGGTTTGAGCCATTCAACGCAAATTGCCTGTTCAAGTTTAAATAGAATCGCTCATTCGTTCCATTTTATAGTTGTTCCACTCTTCATTAAAATATTATGCACTATTAAACGATTATTAGTAATTTAAATGTACATTTTCTAATACAATTTTAATATACTTTAAGATGATAATATATTTTCTAAGTAAATAATTACACAATCAGTACAGAAGAAGTTAGCAAAGTTGAGTCCAGCGTCCATGATTGTCAGACCTCTCAACTAGTCCTATATAATTTAGCATTTATGAAAGAAGGTTATAAAAAACAATTTTTATTACAGTTTTTTTTTTTTACACATGTTATAAGTATCTTTATGTTAGACGTCCTATATGTTTAGGCTAATTTTCAGCTCTTATAAAATATCCCAAAATTGAACCTAAAGAGTAATAAAAAAAAAAACCAAAACACTTTCAACCACAATAGGAGTTGACTAATATTCTACTTTTGACATTATTATAAAACCAATACCTTTTATCAGCTATCCTATATATATAAACCTAATTTAAATTTTGAAATAATAATAATACACTACAAAAGGTTGATTAGCGGTTTGTTAAGTTCAGGACCACTCAGTCCAAAAATTGTGAAATCTGACAACGCGAGACATCTAGGCTAATATCCGTTATTATAATATATTATATACTTATTGCGAATGGATCGCTGGGCATTAACAATAATACTAATTGTACCTATATACTTGAACAACATAATATTATATCATAGACACTGTCTAATAGACAGCTTATAAAAAAACTATAGAGGTATACTATGTATACTTGTACCTATAATACTGATGTAATCTGCGCGCGTTTTACTATATATTGTTATTATATTCGTGTCAATTGTTAAGTACTCGAGTGTGTTTTTTAGCTTTTTTAATATTATTATGATAATATATAGGTATGTTTTACATGTAGCCATTGTGTGTCTGTATATAATATGGTCGAAATGCAAAATACTTACCGCGAATTGAGGTTATTAATTTGTGTTGTTTGACAGTATACTATATTATATAGGTATTATTATAATAAATGAGTGTTGCACGCAATACGTGCATTCACACAGCCAAATCGGCGCAACTGACGAATACACCATAGAGTTTACATCACAGAGTGTATATAGTAGAGGTATAGCCATATACAAAACATTACCTATATATTATATTGTACACACTTTATTTACATAGATAATATTATGTTAAACGTGATCACACGATTAGATGAAATAAAAAAATATATACATCATATTCAATTCCTTATTCCAATGTAGATGTTTGTATGTTCATCCATAAAACAATAATTAACTACAATAAATACTAAATATTAGATTTTTATTTATGATATATGGCTACTGAATATCCGATACGAGATTTATAGAAAAAAAGCATTATAAATATTTATCCGACCCAAATCTGAGAAATTATAATATATATTATTAGTTTTGGCTAACTTGGACAAAACTACGTTAAAATTGTTTTATTTGTAAACATCTGATACCTTCGTCACACCTACTGTTTTGTTAAATGTTTTTAAGTTACAATATGGAGATATAAAGCTATACATACAGTTATGTTAAGTTAGTGTTAATCATATATAATCATATGGTCATTAAAAATTGACAAGATGCCTCTTAATTATAATTTTATGAGCTAATTTTTTTCAGTTTGGACGATTACACAAATTATTTGTTAATTAATACATACTTTAAACTATGCAAGATCTGAGGTACCGCTGTATCTATCATAATATATTATAGCCTAGTATAAATGATAATAAATGTAAAATAAGTTTTACCAACATGCAATAACATGTACAATATGAATCTTTTATTGGATTTGAACCGATAAGAAACAGTATCAGACTAACACAAGTCACAATACCTATAGATACCTACCAATGATCTAAGCTGATCATAAGTGCTAATGGGAAAACATATAATAATACAGATCTGTTTCGAAATTTCCCAAAGCATTTTTAAATAATGAAAATTCTAATAGTACACTCTAGAAAATAGGTATAATTCGACATCAGTGCAATTGCTTGTTTTTTTTTGTAAAAAAAACATATTAAACTTTAGCAAAACACACCTAATTTGGGAGCATTTTTCTTTTTTATCTATAATCACCATAGATGTGTTTTAAGTCTTTTGAGTCTTTTACATTGTTTTTTTTAATAAATAAAATAAATATAAACTTGTTTGTTTTGTTTGGTTTTAAAGATAAAAACAATCTTGACCATACACAATTATTAGACGAAGGCCAAATTACTTATTATTCGTGTAATCAATATGTATATAGTTAGGTGTCCACTTCACGATCCTATAATAGTTTATTTTGATTTTGACATGCAACCCTTTATTCCCTATCAAAAGTCTTTATATAATATAGGTATCACAATCTTGACCCTTGAATATAAATTTAAGTGTAAAATTTCATGTAAAATTATTAATCGGGTTTAAAAGAATAAAAACCTAGTTACCTTAGTTAAAAGGTCAAGCGCCAAATTCTTACCAACCTTTTTAGGGGTTTACCGCCAGAGGTTTATTCCTAGCACTGGTTTCTATTATATTTTTCTGAATTATATTCTATTCGTGTTCGATAGGTAGATTAAAATACAATTAAAATTAAATACATTTAAGGGCAATGAAAAAAATTAAATAATAAAATAAGTTATTATTTTTGAAGTTACCATCCGCGTTTCGGACACTAGAAGCTATAGTATATTATATTTGTTCTAGTTAGGATTATTGAGAATTTTAGTCGAGTACAAGTATATTCTAGTGCACATTGATGCATTAACTATAATGGTTTGTGAATGGTAGTATGCAAAATAAAAATAAAAATAAAAACAATAGTTGTACTACTTAGGCTCTTAGCACGAATAATCTTTTAGCTTTTGAACAATCTACTTAGAAAAAATCGTTATCATCGTTGATTTGTGTGTTCTTATGTGCCATTATTGTTTTTGCAGTATTCGGCGACCGGAAGCCATTATGTCTGTCGGCCTGTGCCGATACATTGACTATGGGCGCGTGGCGTCCGCGCGACGGTTTGCTTGAGGCGCCCCCAAAACGGAGTACGTCACGGGGACGGGGCCATGCGGCGCCCCCCCAACACCGTATCACCAGCCGTTGATCGAACACCACCAGAACAACAACCACGTGCAGCACCACCAGCTAGTACCGCCGCCGCCGACGTCGCTGCCGCTGTCGCAGGCCGGCGGTCACTTGCGCGGTGGTCAATCCACCGGCGCCGCCGTTCTACCCACGCCCGTCCAGCCCGTCAACCCGTTGAGCACGGTGTACGCGACCAAGAGACGCCGGCGAAACGGCAAAAGGTGATTTTTAACACTCATATATTACCATATAAAGGTTAGGTATATTAAACGAATATAACCACCGGTTACACTCTGGTAATTTGTCGGCGCGCCGAGCGCAGCTGTTAGCTTCCGGCTTCGGTAAAAGGGTCTTAAAACGACGCTATTATAGGCGAGTTGTATAGACATAGCGCACAGTTTTTTTTTATGTACACATATATATATATATATATACACACTATAAATTATGGTCGTACCTACGTTGTTTTCGCTGATTGATACAAATCGGATATAAGCGCCCCTCCTCGGGGGTGGTAGCGGTGTACCGCATATAGAATAATATACATTATAATAACACACATTACATGTATATATATGCGCCGCTCGCGTTTTCTGTGTGTGTGTAATTGATGCATTTCGTATACACTAGCGCAGTATGACGTCACTGACGTGTGTGTGTATTTATATATTATTATTATTACACACATATATATATAGTAGTTTGCTCCATTACCGGAGATTATGTTACAGTAACTTTTCTATATTATATGGGCCCCGATCGTAACAGCCGCGTATACAACAAGAACAACAACAACAACACACATTGCACACACACGGTAGATCCGGACACCGGTAATGTAATGTTTGTCCATCACGCGATCCGCCACCACGCCGCACCCTAAGCGGCCGCCGTCGTCCTTTGCTGCAAAAGTAATGATCCGCAGTGGTCAATTCCTACCGGTCGGACCGCAATGAGTTAAGTCCGCTGCGGCCAGCCATGAGGCACGTGTGCATGTATGCGGGGATGGATTTACGACTCACGCCGCGTGAGCCCCCTAACCCTCCATCCTACCCCCCCCAATCTGTGTCCGACGTGCGATTACTTTGTGTTGATTTGATACGGCTATTTGTAGCCGTGTTTTACCATTAAAAAAAAAAATAAAATAAAAAATTGGGCATACACTTACAGTTAGTGTGACTGTAAGTTTTTTAATTAATTTTCAGCTAAAAAAACAGTTTTCGGTATAAATTTTTTTTTGAAACGTTCAATGCACACATTTGTGTGTACATTATTGTACAAAATTAAATTCTTGATAACTTAATTTTGTACTTGAGAAAAATATTGTATGAAATAAAGCATATTATTATCTCATTAAAAAAAAAAAAAATTATTTTATTAATTATATTATTATGTATATACCGGGTGTGATACATTTAACGTAGTAGTAGGTAGTACTATTGAGAACGTGAGGTGTGAGATAATAGATCACATAATGCGATTTGTATTGTATGTATTTGGTTCTCGAAAAGTTCCCCTTGCACACGCACATAGGTACTGATTTGCATTTAATCAGCCGGCAATCGTCTATATGCCAATTTTGTTATGTATATAATTAAAAAAAAATAATAATAATAATACTCGGTTGGCCAATTAATTCGTCGTTCGGATAGTATTTTAATTTATGCGATTCAAAGTATAGATTCCGTTGATATTTGCACACATAGGATCGTATAGCGTTTAATTTATGTATATTACAATTATTATTATTATTCCATACGGTCTCATTCAATATATACATTATTTATAATCAACGATAACACCTATCTAGATAAAACTTACTGTTGTTGCAAAATAAATATACAAAAGGAAACCTTCGCCGGTTATATATATTTTTTTATTTTACCTACCCACCCAGTAACCGAGATCTTTAAACACAAGTGGCACATTTTCTTATGGTTTATATTTTGGTCTGGTATATTTGATTTCGGCACTGATATAGATATACTTATCACACAAAACCGTAGCGGCCATCTTCTCAAATGTTTATCAGTAGAGTTTTATGTATCTATACATTATTATTATATATTTTTTTTATGATTATGGCAAGTTCAGAACATGGCTGCCACGTTTTTGTTTCCATTGCTACTGTCCTTTTTGATTTCATTTGTTCTGTAGTTAAACTAAATAATAAATTACAGGTCTTATAAACTGATAAATTTATGTCTGTATACAAATGTATAAAAAAAATTTCTATTCACCCCCTCCTCCCTAGAGGTTGAAGAAAATACGCCCCTGCCTTTGTTTTCCCCCAACAATTAATCATGTTCACCCATACGTAGGTACCTAACTAAAACAAATTTGATTTTAAAATGTATACAACAAATTAATTAATTTTTTTGGGCATCAGTCAAATAGTTGTGTGTAATTTTCAAGCGGTTTGATTTATATGTATGTAAATCATCTAATACCAAGATTCCCAATACACATATATTCATGCCCAGTTGCACCAAACTTGTCGTTATCTATAGGTAAATTATTTACCAGCCTAATAAACTAACTTTTGTTAAACTTTATCTTTTGTTAAATTAACATGTGTTAAATTTACGAGTGTTTTTCAATCGTTGTTTTATATTCAGGTTATTACCAGTATACTGGTTATCGAATAAATGGTATTAGCAGTAGGAGTTAATACTATTATCATACAGGGTCTAATCAATGATAAACTGATAACGCACATTTCCATAATTACCACTTTAAAGCAAAACATTGATAACAAAATTTAACTATACATACATTCTTAGTTCTTACACAGCGATAAATGACCCTGTAATTCAACTAGTGATAGAGTAAATTTTTAACAACAATTAAAATTTAAAACATGGTTGTTGCAACAGAATTTATTTTAACTCCAGTTAAACGAGTTTATCTCTGTGTAAAAATTTGATGCAGCCGGCAATAGAGTACATAAGTTTCTTTTCACATAACATAATATTCTGAGCAAACTCTACACTTATAAGATCCGGTCACTGGATGTCAATGGATAGGATAAGGTGGTAGACACGGACGCCAACGATTCAAACTGTCTGTTATAGTTGTTACTATATAAACCATTTGGTGGCGGTCTTCACCGTATTACAGAACAATTATTAATTATTATAGCATAGTTATCATACCTAACTGCTAACCGAGACCCGGCATTAAACTGTCCACGGCAAATCAAGGAAACGACTAAATTGTTATACCTACCTCTAATATGTGTGTCTGTACGCATCAATGGCGATTTTGTGCGCCTATATAATAATATAATACCTATATGTAATATATTATGCAAAACACGATTTCCTTGAACATGTCGTTACGCTTGTACCTACATTTTTTTTGAACACTGGTATACAATTATAATAATAATGAATAAATAATTATCGAGGAGACGTTTGCATATTATTACAGGTAGGTATAGGTACCAATACAAAGCGCTATGTAATACTAATAGTGACCGACATGATGTGTGTGTGTGTCATATTATATTATCATCACAGAAATTTTCGCATTTAAATTGTGCCGCTAATGGCCGCCATCCGGGTTAAGTCCGGCGTATACGAACATTGAACACTTGTGCTGTTATAATGATAATAATTACGGCGTTTTGTACTGCAGTATAAGATAGAGGGCATCTATTATATACTTTATAAGGTTATATATTATATTTTTTCTTATTTAGAAATGCTATACTCGATTGCAATGAACGAACGGACGACGCGACGTGGCGCTGAAGAAACGTCAAAAGTGATTTTTAATAACAAACTATAAACTAGGAACGGGGGAAAAAAACAAAATTGAGAACAAACCCGTAGTGCCGTGTAGTATATTGTATACATATATTATACAGCAATAGTTGCAGCAGTAGGTATATAATATAGAGGTCGCTCAACGACAGGGATAATTTAAGGTAATTGCCGGGGTCAGACCGGTGGAGACGTCTAAAATACATTTAAATTATACGGTTGTCCGCTGTCGCGCGATGCTATGGCCTTTCTCCGATTCGCCGACGTTTTTCCAAGTCGAGTCCAAGAAATTACAACAAAAAAAAAAATTCCTCGGTTAATAATAATGTAATGATAATAATAAAAGTAGGTATAGTGCCACGATCGCACCGTAAGCAATTGAACGGCCCTACAAAATACAAGAGGCTGCGTATATTGTTGCCGGGTTGCACCAAATATTTACACAGAGATAAACTCGTTTAATTGGAGTTAAAATAAATTCTGTTGCATAAACCATGTTTTAAATTTTATTTGTTGTTAAAAATTTACTCTATCACTAGTTAAATTACAGGGTCATTTATCGCTGTGTAAAAATGTATGTACCTACAGTTAAATTGTGTTAGCAATGTTTTGCGTTAATGTGGTGATAATGGAAATGTACGTTATCAGTTTATCATTGATTAGACCCTGTATTAATTCCTACGGCTGATACCATTTATTCGATAACTGGTAAACGGTAATAACCTGAATATAAAACAACGATTGAACAACACTCGTAAATTTAACACATGTTAATTTAACAAAAGATAAAGTTTAACAAAAGTTAGTTTATTAGGCTGGTAAATAATTTATCAATAGATGACGAGAAGTTCGGTGCAACCGGGCATGTGTGTCATTTTAGCATTACAGCGAATTACCATATGTATAATATTTGAATATAATATACATAACTACTATGACAGTTGGCATTTCTGATCGACATACTACCAACCTATATGAACCTGTTTGTGTAAAATAAATTGATTTCACAGAATTTTGCACCTATCGCGTCGAAATCGCTATTTTTATAATTGCTCTCTACACAAACGCCATAATATTATTATTATTAGGTATTATAATAATAGGGCGGTTAATAGTCGATTTTTCACATCGGTTTTCCCGGACCGGATATTCTTCGGTGACGGATATACTTGCACTTTGTAACTGAGCTGTGCAATAGGTATATGGAATCTATACGGTAATAACAGACAGCAATTATTATAATTGTTATTTTTTATTGTCGACCAGAACGTGTCCTATACCGTGATCTGTGTGTGTGTGTGTGTCAATAAATAAATTAAAACAAATTCAAAAGTTTGTTCGAATTGAAATGAAACCAATGTGCTAAGGATTAGCAAAATACATCATGTCGAGATAGAGTTTAGATTAAACCGCTTTGATTTTTAGTGAATGGTTTGACTACACTACACTAAGAAAAGCGAGAACAACACCTCTCTCTTGAGACAAAAATCAGACATTCAAGATGCTGTGTGTTATCTGTGCTACTGTATGGAGTGGATCCTGATCTCTACGAATGATGTTATCACAAAGAAATTAGAAGCATTTGTGATGTGGTTGTATAGAAGAATAACTGCCCGGATTACAAACATGGAAGTTCTCAGAAGAATGAACAAAGACACTGGCACCATTATGATCAGAAAGCTCCAATACACGGCACACATGATGAGAAATGAGAGCAGATATTCTATACTTCAATGCATTGTGCAAGGAAAATATTTGGAAAGAGAGGACCAGGCAGAAGAAGAATATCATGGCTTCAACATCTGAGAGCTTGGTTTGGGAATAGCTCATCAGACAAAGTGGGAATTGCTATGATGGTCGCCAACATTATGGGAATCTGATAGGAACCTGAAGAAGAAGACTCTAAAGTCTCACTGTGCTCAGATACTGTCAAATCTTAAAGTTATCATCCAATTCTTTTTGAATGGAATTCATTTAAATTGCGTCCTATATAGGTTCGGTTGGTTTATTAAGAGCACCGAGATGTCCGAGTGTGTGTCTAATATGGCTCTTTCCATTACATTCGACCGTTCCAAAGGGTGTCAGACAGTTTTCGGATTTTGTCACAATTTTCTGTATTATGTTGCATTGTATTGACACGGCCAAGCCATTTTTCTCTTACCGTGTCGCGTGTGGCAATTAATCGTCTGGTCGGCTACGGAAATCCATGCAATAAAAGCCGGGTGAGAAAAAGGGTTAAAACGCTTACCAGACACGTGTCCTATCCTGTGTGTATATTGTGTTTGGGGGGTATAATCCACTGCAGTTTAATTGCCGAGACGGAAGACAAACCTGTATACGTCATGTGTGTTTGTGTAACTTGTCCGGATCCGGCGACAGTTACAAACACATTAGAGTGGCAAGATGAATAAAACAATATTTTTTTTTTTTTAATTATTTTTTACATTCAGTAGTTTTCCTACTCTTAACCCTATAATCATCTGTCGATCTCCAGGCGACTGCCGTTTTCTCCGTGTATTATTATCCGCACCGTGTATACAGTGAATTCAATTTGGTCCACTGTCTATGTATAGTATGATGCCCCCCCACAAGGATATTTCCATTGCGATTTTTTTTAATCAACATACTTTTAAAATTACATTTTTTTATAAGAATTGTTGTTCACTTTGCATTTTTATTTATATAAACAGCAATGTCATAATGAGTTCAATATTATGCTGTTTTTGTCCCTTATAGTTCTAAAGCAAAACTTCTTTATCACTCATATTAACAATGTTATTTATGCTTCGATAAAATTCACTTAGTTTAAATTAACACATATTAGGTATTTATAAAAAAACATATAATTAAATCCATAGTAAGTCCCATTAGACTTGATAACGTTTTAAAATAAATTATTCTTTTTCACCTTTGTTAATAAATAGTAATCAATTAAAAAACTAAAAAACTTTTAGTTTAACTAACTATTGGGGGATTGACTTTATATACTTTGAGTATTTGATTATAATAAAGCTTTTAGCCATATACAGATAGGTGTATTTGTGTATTTTATTGTAAATTCATAGCGATCATATTATTTCATCCGTTTCTTGTATGATTTATTTAAGCAGTACAATTTTTTTTATCGATCGTCAACTATCTCTGTAGTTAATATGGTGTTTAAATATGATAACAATATTTCACTGCGTAACGTAGCCGAGTTGTCAAGTCCAAATAATATTGTTGCACTCGGAAAACAGCAAAATTATCAACACATTCCCATAAAAAAATGCAGCGTATTACAAATACAATCATTCTTCTATTATAATATAAGTAATGTAAAGCGAGTCTATATTTGTTCAACAACAATGAAAATTCACGTGCTTTCTGCGTAAATCCGTTACACATATTAACCTTACCGTGGAAAAATCTATAAACTCGGAGGGCGTTTTCCTTTAATTTTACAGAGAAGGAGATGGAGGGAACCCTATTGAATTTATTTATAAACAAAAAAATTGGTTCAGCAGTTGAAGAGTCATTGTGGGTTATGCAAGGTGTTGCATTTCTTTGGTTAGAATTATCATAGTACTTAATTGATCCTAAAATTTGTTTTTCAGTAGCTTTATAACCTTTTTGTAATCAGTTATACATAGTTATGCATATCTTAATCTATTCGACTCGTTGTTATACAGCTATTGTCTATTGTTATTTATCATTAGGTAATGTTGTTTCTATTGTCTATACCCAAACAAAATTAAACCTGGATCTGAATTGTGTGTGCCCTGTTTTGTTTGTTACAGTGTAAAAGCCACCCCAAAAGATGGCGGCGTGGGCAAGAGCAACCCCAGCAAACGGCACCGGGAACGGCTGAACGCCGAACTGGACACGCTGGCCAACCTGTTGCCGTTCGAGCACAACATCCTGTCCAAACTGGACAGGCTGTCCATACTCCGGTTGTCGGTTAGCTATCTGCGCACCAAGAGCTATTTCCAAGGTAAGTGTCACGCGTCTTGTGTTTTTTTTAACAAAATTTGAGTTTTTTTTGGGGGATTTGTTTTTTATTTGTTTGTTTATGTAATTTTTTCTTAACGCTTTAAGTCTAGTTGAACTGCGACGGCCGTGTCTCGTGTCGGCGGCTGCTCTGCGTGTCTGTCGGATGCCGCAGACGCGCATGACGTGACCAAAACGCTTTACACGCGACATTAACCGTTTCGAAAATAGGTAGAACACGCGACCTTGACCGTGGTCAACAGAATCCGTCGTCATTTAAAAAAAAAAAAATAAATAAATAAATATGATATGCCTATACACGTCACGTTATACATTGTAATTGGCAGCCATAAATCGTTGGCCCGAAGCCCTAACCCCGGAACGTTATACCTAGGTAGCCAAACTAGATAGCAAAACGATAAAGGTTCATCATTTTTGGCAAAGTAAAAAACCGTCTTGGAAGTCATGAGCGGACGCGCTTTTCATCTATTATATTATAGTCTGCTGTACGATATAGTCTGTTTCCCCACCTTATCCAACTCACGTTCCACATTTTTAAAACACAAAAACTGTAATATAACATATATTATAATTCCAAATTAAGTAAAATATCAAATATAAAAAGGCCACTAAATCCCGATCAAAAGGAAAAAATAACTGAATTGTACAATAATTATTGTCATTGTTTTTATTTTTAAAAGCTGTATTATATATCTGAGTAGGAGTTAGGACTGAGCTGAGTTTCCATAAACAGTAATTGATAAGAGGACTGTTATCAGTGATAAGGTAATAATAAGGGAAAAAAAGCTTTAAAAAATGTATATATATATATATATCCATGGGGTATAATCACGATTATAGATAAAATATGGTTACGCGACGAGGACTAATTTTGCGGCTGCGAAGATTCTTATCAATAATTTATGAAATTCACTGTACTCTAGCGAGATCTTGTTTGCAGCTATGGGAACTGTTATCCTAATGGTATACTGTTATCCTAATAAATTATTATTATCAATACTAGACACAAAATATAATCATATTGCCGGGCAATATATAGTTTATTTTACTACTAGAAGCGCTAATAATCAGCGAGTATTTCATACATTTCATAAGAACTTCTAATAACAAGCGAATGTTATCAGTGTGTTTCTTATCACTGATAACAATCTTCTTATCAATTACTGTTTACGGAGGATCCTGGATCATCCTTAATAGGATGATTAAATTAGCTGTCCTACTTTTGTGTTGAAATCATTAGATACGAATGGGTAAGCATAAATATGTATGCTTGTTGTAACATTTAAATTTAAAAAATATTTAAAAGTACACGTAGTAATGGAGTGTATTAGTATTAGGTAACAGTACCGTGTGATAGACGTGCATTATTACCATATTATAATACCGTGTTTCACTGCACAAGGATTCGTATGGAGCGTACCTATATGCTTGCACGATGGTGTATACGAGGACCAGGAAAGGCAAATGGGCAAAAGCGTGTGTCCGTGTTTTATTATATGCGTGGGAAGATTTAGATTAAGTATACACACAAGTCATGTGTGGACCGAAGAAAAACGGGGCGCGAACTGATCCGATAGCGGGGTGAAACGCGTTTTGAAAAAAAATATATACTTACTTATATACAAAATACATTATTGACAATTATTTATTACCTTCGAGAGGGTCTCCCGTTCGCTACCGTGTGTGCGCGCACAGCCGATTGAAGATATTAGTTTTATTATTACTATTACTATTATTCTCGTTTAAAACCAACTGCGAGCATACACTTTGTATATATATATATATATATATATATATATATAAGTATTTCTCTCTGTCTATCTTATGTACTTCTTGATTGTATTATTTTTTTCTTATGTTTTTTTTTTACTCCTCGACCGAACAGCCCCAGATGTCGGATACCGATACCCCCGAAGCCACGACCAAGAGCCAGTTTTTGCGCTCAGCACAACAGCAGCAGCAGCCGGTAACGCATTGCGCGATAAACACGCCTTAAATCAATTACGGCAAACACTTGCTGCAAAGGTGTTGCCCGGTAATTACTTTATCTGCAGAGTTCATCTCTGAAAAAAAATATACGTATATATCTGTGTGTGTTTGTGTGTAAAAGAAAGCACTCGCACATATTATTATATAGGCAGGCACCTACCTGTGTATAGGTTTCCTGTTGTTGTGCGAGTCAATATAAATAAATGAGTGAGAATAAAAAAAAAAAAAGTTATTATATACTTGGCTTTTCGCAATTCCGATAGTCTGAACCGATAATATGCCCTGGAACTGCCGTGGTTTTTTTTTATATTATGTATAAACTCGAGATAAAAAAAAAATAAATTATAATATATATTATATGCATATGGGAATGTAAAAAACGTTACTTGGTAAAAAATATGTGCTGATAAAAAAATAGTTTTTAAAATTTGGTTAAATAATTAAGACAATTAATCGCGCAGGGTTGTGTAATAATTTCTTTTCTACTCGCGCTTTGATACAATGCCTTACCTATTGTAAACTATTGACATACTGAAATGAAATAATAGTAGTTTAGACTCGTTAGTGCATATTTACATGAATATTAAATTCCATAATCAGTAAGACACGTGTATTTAATACTTTATTATAAAAATTGATGCGATTAATTCACATGTTATGTATGTTTACTGTATCATCCGGTCAATATAATGTATTGCCACTAAAATATAAATTATGATACTCCTTTGTTAGCATTTAAACCGTCGTTTACGGCATACAATGTTTTTATATATTTATTACACATACTCACACAGAGCACATTAATCACCGCTTGGTTTATTGAAATCGTATGTTAATGAACCTTTGTGTAGTAATTAGATATTATTGTCCAAAATTCAATGTAGGTATAACAATTAAAAACATCAGATTTAACTGGGAACATACTTGTTCCCAATGATTGTGTTTCCATTAAAACAACAAGCATCATCTGGGCTGTACGACGTTGAAATACACCAAGTTCTGAAATTATTAAGAAATATATTGAATGGTTAAATTTCAGGCCGATTTGTCATAGGCAGTACAATACAGGGTGAGGTTAGGTCATAGTATATTATAATATACTAACCTAGCAATGACCCCACAAGATTTTGAGCTATGCTTGTTATCTATTCAATGTGTTATAGACTACATAGAGAATTTTTCGGCTTGCCGAAGATGCGTACAGCTCTTATGTGTATTATTGTATGAAAACGATTCATAACGATTTACGACCATTCCAAAAAAACAACCGGTCGTTCACGTTCACTATACTGTTATGTATGTATACCCACAGAAGGTCATTAATATCATAAATAATTCGCCCGTAAAATTATATCAGACACGCGAATGTTTATGTACAACGATATTATAATATATTGCCAAATGCGTTTATACATATGTGAATTACTCGTATTGTCACTTTTATAGGAAATTTTAAACTTCCAAATTTCAAATACAACGTTAATAAATGTGTGATTTATCTACGGCTCATTGATGAGTGCTGGTGATGATACAAGTCTTGCACGCAAGCCATATTCACTGCATGGATATGTACATATATATTATACTCATCGAATCGTCTTGTCAGTTATCAGTAGAAAATGATATGTTTAAAAAATAGAAATTCAATTAATTTAAACTTTTTTCATACTTGAGTCCAGAATGTTTAGTAACTCTTTGATCGCATGAATCTAACCTTGTGCATGCACGACAAGGCTCAAAGCTGCTTAGTCAGCCAAGTAATGGTAAGATTAGATGTTAGACATACTAATCTATTGCAGGTTTGCATCATACCAGCTGTATGGCTCGCCCATACATAAGTTAATAATATGGAATAGTATAAAATCAGCCGGTTTTACCAACTATTTTTAAATACACTCTTAACACAACGTTAATTAACAATTCATTTAAGTTTAACATTTGGTTAAATTAAGCAAGTTTCATAATAACATTATCATTATTAAATTCTATTTGTTAAGTTAACAAAATGTTAGATGGGTTACCAAAGCGGTTACCTTGATTCCAACGTTCTCATGACTCATTAGTTATCACGAGATGTGATAATTGATAAGAGATAATAATATAATTTTACAATACAATTTCAATTAGTAATGTATATTTCGATCTATAGCACTTTAACATGCCAATTAACTTTTTAACGAGCTGATTTCGGCTGATTAACATAACAATCGTTATAACAAACGTGTTAAGGCTAACAAATCTCGACGAAACCTAATTTTCACTTGCTAATTGTTAAATATAATTAACAATAAGTTAAATCCTTAACAAATGTTGGTGAAATCGGCTGAATATGTGAAATTGGGATTTAGGGGCGTGTGTATATTTTAACGGCATCGTGCAGTCTGTGAGCGTGGGTTTTATAATATTATACCTATTTTTTACGTGGCGATAATGCAATCAGAATAATTTTTAAAGGCGGTTCCGGTCGACGCGTATATTACTATATATTATAAACATATATTATATTATATACTTTAAAACTTAATATAGGTAAAAATTATCCTGTGGAAAATACGACGGCGCGACACGGTATGAGTTATGGGGTCCGTACCGGCGACGGCGCGTTCCGACCATTATCGAGATTGTATATGAACTTTTGCTTGCGGGGTGAGGTTGGAGGTTGGAGGATAGGGGTGTGTAAAAGGCAAAGCGCTGAAGCGACGGGGGGGGGGGGGGGTTAACAGGCGGCGGCCACCGTACAATATGTACGGGCGCCGTCGTAAATTTAATTTCCATAAACCCGCATAATGTGTACTTGTATCTGTGTATGTGTGTGTGTGTAAAGGTACCCGAACAGTTTTTCCACCCCTATACGGCGGCACGGTGGTGTTTTTTTATTATAATGCGGTCCGCGCTTTACCGAAGGGGGTGTCTTTGACGATTTTCCGGCACCACCACCACCACCACCACGTGTCAAGTGGTGGGACGAGCGGTGCCGCCCGCCAATGGGGCGTC